GGATGAAGTAATGGAACACAAGTGAGCCATGGAACCTGATAGATCCTTATTTGCAACCTAATGCTGCTACTTACTGTAGGACTAAACTTTGGAACACATTAAAATAGCTTTTTGAATTTTATTTATCTCATTTATAAAACAAAGCTATTAAATTCCTCAGTAAAAGCTTGTTATGAGGCATCAATGAAATACATTCATTGTGGAGCCTGGCATATAGTACACAATAAATAGTCTTCCTTTCTCTTTGCAGTGAGGAAAGGAACTAGAAATGAATACCCTCAGCTTCGTCCATCACATGACATTGACTGAACCTTACTAGTGAGCCACTACTTAATGGAACCAACAGCACTAAGGATGTGGGATATGTCAGGGTGCATTTTGCATTCTAAAAACATACACGTTCAAAGTTTAATGACCATATTAATATTACCTTTTACAGTCACTAGTCATGACTTCTATGGAGTCCTGGAGGAGATGAATAAGGTATTATCTCTAACCTCTTTCTGCTTCCTGTGGAGGAAAGGCTGGGCTTACGCACACCCACAGAGCTGAAGTGGGCATCAGAAGAAGCATCAAAGAAATGTCTCTTAGTCTGAGGGATAGTGAGAACTTGTAACTCTGCCATTTCCACATCTGGGACATAAAGAGTTGCCTTGTAAGAAGCACCCCTATGACAGATATTCTTCCCATCCCACCCACCCAATTAGCTTACCTGCTACTGGGTAAACCCTTAATGAGCAGTGTGCTTTAACTCAGTTAAACCAACATATTATTGCCGTTTTTTGTGTGTGTCTGTGTGTACATGGGTTCTATTTAAAAATTAACAGTGATAGACCAACCAGCTAACAATTTAAAAATTCTGTGAATGGACCCAGTGCAGGCAAATTGAAACCATGAAAGAGAGAGGAAAAGTTATCATGATAGGAATGACTTTCACAGAGAGGTGGGAAGGCAATGCAAATCACTCAGTATAAAGGCACTAAGCACCTGTTAGGGGATGGGTGGGTGGAGCTGGGATGGAAAAGGAGAGTAACATGTGCCAACTCCATTTTATGAATAGCTGATAGAAAAATTCTCAATTGAGAAAAAGGCCAGATCCATTTTACTAATACCTTTCAGTAAAATATTCAGTTCCGAAGAAGGCTAGAGCAGAGGCCATTAAGAGTTACAGAACTACAGACTGGCCATGGAGGCAGAAAACAGTTGCAAACCACACGGGGGAAGGACTTCAACAATGGGAATGAAGGGATAGAACTTGGCATTTAGTGTTTACTATGTGTTGATGAATATATATGTATATTCTGTATCTATATATTGCATCCTCATCAGCTTTCTATAAGTCAGGCATTACCACCCTTAATTTTCAATTGGAAAAACCAGACTTGGAGAGCTTACTCATAATAATTTGTTAATGGTCACACAGGAAGCAAGAAACACAGCTTCTTGTCATGTCATTTGTTGAATGTTCTCCTTATTTTTCATATGGCAACACCAACAGGAAAATAGACACAATCCAGGTAAAAAATAGGTATCTTTAAATGCAGAAGAAAGGCAGAGAATTGCTCACTTCCTCCTAATGTTGAATGTTTAAACTGACTAGAACCCATCTCTCAGTTTCAACTACAAAGATAACATGTAGGAATTACATTAAAGAGTTTCCTTTGAGTTGTCCCCAAGAGCCCTCTCCCCCAAAATACATAATTTAATAAAAAACGTAATATTGCGCAAAATGTACTAGTCAAATAATTGGCTATAGTACAAGATATACACAGGAATAGGTTTTATGGGGCATAATTTAATGCTGGCAAACACTGCTTTCAAAAAGAACACTGTCCCACCTTCACCCCTAGGACTTAAATTATATAATGAAATGTGTGTGCCTTATATTAGAATGATTATACTTATGAAACTCCATGTATAGTAATATTTGTCTTATTTTTTTATGAATTTGTCACATTTTTTCCCAGGAAACTGCTTTCCATCTCTGGGAAGTATCACCTGATAGTGGAGAGGGCATATAATGAGAGAGGAACTGTGGACTAAAGAAAATAAGGTGGGGATGATGAAGACTTCATCATCCTGTTACATCACTTCACAAAAGGGCATTGTGGTCGAAATGCCTTCTAACTGATACATTATATTTGTAAGTTCAACAAGGTTGATATTTTCCAAGTCGTCAGTTACATGCAAGTGCAAATGGTGAATGGACTCAAAGGGTCAGTGATGACATCTGATACCTACATTGTGGTATTTCACCTTCAAACCTAAGGTTGCCTTTTATCTTGAAGAATAATATGATTTTTTGTCCTGCCAATCTCTGAATAAAATTACTTATATCAGAGGGGCAAAAAAGCAGTTCTCAGTCTAATCTGTTTTGCAAATTTGACAGTGACATCAAAGAGCAGGAAGTTGTCTGTGAATAATGACACTGCTCATTTGTTTAAATGTCAAACTTAACCGCATCAACTTTCAGAATATGTCAGTAAAGAATGAATTTCAGTTCAGCCAGAGAGGATTTCGGTGTCATTCAGTGCTGAACAAAATAGCTGTCAGTATCTTGAAAGCAGAGGGCTTTGATTCAAGCTTTCTTTGTAAGCTAAATGGAAATGGCCATTTCAGCACTTGGAGCTATGGACAGTACTCTCTTCCTTAGGTAATGAAACAAGTTGTCGTACTTCTTGAGATTAAAACATTCCCCAGATTAGCAAGCATGTGCCCCTAAACTATCCAATTAGGATATAAAGAGGATGCATCACAGGTCTGTGCAAAGCCAGGATGAAATAACAGCAAAGAGGAGCAAATTTTATCACAGAGATTAAGCCTGAAATAAAATTAGAGAGGGGAAATATGATTTGTAGCTATCCCTTCAAGACATGTCAAAATTTTACTGCAATGCAATAACATTTCCCTATGGATAGGTTTTTGTTGGAGAGAATAATAGAATAATAGAATTAACCCCCTGTAGTAATTTACTAGCATTGGACATAGGTGCAGAAGAGAACAGGAAGTATATTTAATAGACTTGCAGACAATCAGGAGTAAAAAATTCATTCTCTATATGCTTTCTAGATCGATCTAGAGTGGAACATTCTTGAAGCATTCTGGATATGAGGTCAGAAAAAAAATGGAATTGAATCTGCAGCATGTTCCTTAATGAGTAATTTCATTTCTCTAAGTCAAAATTCTTAGGTCAAATATAGGCTACTTTGAGGTTTAAGTGAGAGAGTGTATATGAAGGGGTCTGGCACACATTAGGTCCTCAACAGATTTTTCAATTTGGATTATTCACTTATATTAAGTGTTGGCATAATGCAGTGCAGTGTTGCTATAGTGGTGGCCATGAGTCTGAATAGTTGTAACACTAAGGATGGACACAAGAAGAAGGAAAACAAGAAAGGCATTGTTATTAACAGATGTGTTCTTATATCCAAGGGCCCTAATCATGCGCATCTGCACCTTCATCCACCTTGTTGGCATCCCCAAAATATTCCCTTATGTTTATATTTTTAAAAACCAACAAAAGAAAAAAAGTCTAAAATAATACAGGAAGAGCAAACTAAAGTTCTCAGAGGTGTCTTATTTCTCTTACCAAATACTAAGTCTACCAACTTTCTCCAGAACACCTCTCAGTCATATACTGCCAACGACTCTCACTACCTGCTACTTTGAGTGCTCCTGCGCAGCCTGGCGCACTTGGAGAGAGCAGGTAAGACTGAGCTGAATGCTGAAAGCCTGGTAAGTTCCTTATCACCCTGCATAGAAGCTACAGACTAGTTGCTTTGGACTTCAAAGCCTCCCAGCCTATTTCACATCACTCCTCTTCTTCCCTTTTCATAACCATCACCGAGAGAGCATCTTCACCCAGCCTCCCCACTCTCCTCCTGTTCTTTTCAACAGAGATTCCCTCCACACTGCCCTCTACATATGAACTGCCTCCCACTCTCCATTCATCAAGGCACATGCTCGGTCCATTCACAATTCATGTTAAGTCCTCAAGGCCCTCCTAAAGCTCTTTTTAAGTGGATTCCCCAGCTGCTCTAATCAACTCCACCACCACAGCCATCATATCACCATTACGCCCACTCCCCAACCCTCAGAAATTGTACAGAGATGGAGAATGGGCTGGTTTTGTATGCAAATCTGGACAGGGACAAATAGAGATAAGCCTAGCATTAAAATTGATCTTGTTTGGGGGGAACACACACACACACACACACACACACACACACACACACACAAAACAACCAGTTACAAATCTTTCTGAAGCGTGGCAACAAGCATGTTGGGGGGGGGGGGGGGATATTGGTTGAGTGTATGAATGAATGAATGAGGAATGAATGGATGGATGATTGGGATCTCTTTGGCACTTTTCTCAGATGCCCCTCCTTCTTGCTTGCTCCCAGCATAGTTCCTCTATAATTAAGCCCTCAGTGCCTGAGTGCACCTCGCTGCTTCTCCTGGGTCTCCACTCCCTGCCCTTTCATGCCCACCTCCAGACAGAGCCCACGCCTCCTCGCCAAGGGGCACTCCACCTCGCCACGAATCCTTAGTGACTTCAAACGCCGAAGCAAGCTTGCTCCTCCTAGGCAACAGCTTTTCATTCTGCCAGCTCTACTTCTCCCCAAAGCCCCCGAAACCGCCAGCCAGGCCACACAAAAGGATGGCTAATTTCCCCACTCCCGCAATCCACCTGGCGGTGGCCCTCGCTGCCCCTCTGCTGGCACTTGTAACCCAGGTGCTCGCAAGAGAAACGCGGTTCCCCCGCTTCTCTCTGCAGAAAAAAAAACCCAAAACAAAACAAAAAAAGAATCACTATTTCAAGGCTCGGTCCTGGTTCCGAAAATCAGAAAACTTTTTTTTTTTTAAATAGAAAACCCCACCCGGAGGGCAGGGACCTCTTTGTTTGCATCCCAGGGGGAGGGAGGGGTCTCCGAGCTTGTGCAGCCCGGGGCGAAGGGTATGTGACAGCCCTCTGGAGGGCTGCCGGGGACAGGACTCACCCAGGATGTTCCCGATGAGAGCCACCACGAACACGATGATGTAGCCCGCGATCAGGACCCACTCGTAGTCTTTCGGGTGGAGGTAGTCCCTCCACAGGTACCGCAGGAATTCCTCGTCGTCATAGTCGGTGGGGCTTAGGAAGGGCTCTTGAGTTTCATTCAGCTCCGAGGCGGATGACCAGTTGCGACACGGGGGTGAGTCCTCCAGTTTGGTGCCGGACATCACGGGGCTCGAGTCCGGTTCGGCTCAGTGCTGCAAGCGGCTCTTGCCCTGCCCCATGAGCACCGGGGACTCGCGGTGGGAACGGCTGCGCCGAGCGGCGAGAAGGGGCCCCGAGCAGCAAATGACGTGAAAAGTTCAGGAGCCAATGCCTCCTCCGGAGTCCTGTGCCCCGCAACTTCGGCGGCGCCTGGGCTGCGTGTGCCGGGCGCTTGGGCGCCGGGGAGCCAGGCGGCTGAGGACCTCGGACCCGGCACTGGAGGCTGCAGCAATGACACCGGGAGGAGACGCTACCTCGGCTCGGCTCGGGCTCAGTTACTCCTCATTCCAGCACCGAGTCCGCAGCCCGCAGCCTCCTCCCGCGCGGATGGAGAGCTGGAGAGGGAGGGGAGAAAGTAACGAAGATGATTTTAACCTGTGTCTCTCTCTGTGGGTCCCATCTCCCGTCTTTCCTACTTTCCATTTCCTGCTCCATGTCTCACCTGCAGCTTCTCTAAACCGTACGCGTGTAGGTCTGTGCACATGGCAAGCATGTCAGGGCAGGGTGAACTCGGGAGGTTCGGCGCCTTTGTCTCTGTGATGTCAACGTAAAGGGCACGAGGAGGAGCCGCTGTGTTCCTCCAGCAGGACTGGGCAAAAGTCATTTCAGGCAAATAGTTGAACATTTGTGGGGCTTTTCCAATATAGCACTTGCTGAATCTTTCAGGCATCTCCCCCTCGGAATTGGGAAATGAGACCCCCTTTTTAAGACATATTTAGTTAGAATTTGTATTTGCAACAGCAAGTGTCATGTGAAATAGAGCAGCAGATTCTTAAAGGACACCGAGGGTCATAAATGCGCTCACAGTTAAATGTTCCCAAGCGGAGGAGCCATACCAAACAGCATGAAGGGGATTCCCAGCTGGATGGGGTGGGTGAAGCAGGAGAGCTCTCTCTGGTGATTACCACACCCACGGGTCTCCCTTCTCATGGACTCAGGATTGATATCACCTGTCATTCTCTCATTAATTGATTGGGTCTCTAAGAAAAGTATTTTGGGATGTGTCTGAGTCTGAGTTCAAAATCCTTTCGTTCTCAGTAAGCATGATAGGAATATTGCATTTGATTGATTATAATTGGACTTGGGAAGGACCTTGGAATCATCTAGGCTAGACTCCAGCATAATATTAGAAGCCTGATGTGTCCCTAGTTTGGACGTGACACCATAATTTATTACATCCACCATTATGGGACTGCTCTAAAGTTTGGAAAACTGTGCCACACATTGAAACAAGGTCTTTAACCAACATTTGTCTTTCTTAGTCTTTTCTATCGAATTCCTAGTTGGCATCTTAGTGCTACATGGAATCAGTCTTCCACGTGACAATTCTTCACATATTCAAAATAAGCATCACAACCAAAGGACTTGTATGCATGCATATTAAGCCTAACCAATGGACACAGACACCAGGGGGTGAGGGCATGAGTGGGGGGGAGGGACAATGGGAGGATAAGGACACATATGTGATACCATAATCAATAAAGAAAAAAATACAGAATATTGAAAAAAATAAGCACCACAGTCCCCTCCCCTTCCCATGCTCCCTATGGTCACTTTTCCCCCAATTATTTCCAATGTTTTACAAATGACATTATTTCTACAACCTATATCTCCTTGGTCTTCCTTTAGACATTTGTCAATATCTTAGATAACATGCAAGTAAGAGGAAATACAATTATCTGGGTTGGGCCTTGCCAGTACAAAATGTATACTATTATTTCCAATGTTTGTATCTTATTATGTTTTCAAAAGTCACAAGACACTTGAGGGTTCATATTGAGCATTTACTCAACCCCCTACCCAGATCCCCAATCATAATTCTTCACTTTTGTTTTGTACATTATAGTTTATAAAGTTATTTTATACACATTATTATAAAACCTCTGAGGGGCTATTATCAGCCTTGTTCACAGATGAGTAAACTGTTTCTGAAGAAATTACATGATTGACCAAAGGTCAAATGACTACTCAGTGACAAAAACACCCAGTACTTAGTGCTTCTACTATTCTACAGATGCCCTATTTCTTAAGAAATACTGTTGTTGGATTTCCCCATTCTTCCCTTGTCAAATTTCTTTTTAAGAAAAGAGAAAAAAAATAGGCATTTTATTTTTTGACATATGTTTACTTAGTGCTTCTGTTTCACTCTCAGTGATACAAGTTAGTCAAGGTTACAGTACTACTGCATGCATTTTACTTTCCAGTGAAGTTAGAAAGAAAACAAACTAATAAGCACATAAGGAAGGTATTAGGAAAAGATACGTGCTATGTTGAAAACTAAATAGAGTGAAGTAATGGTGAGTGGCGAATACCAAAGGCCATATTAGAAATAGATGGTCAAAAGAGGACTGTGTGAAAAGGTGACATACTAGTATAAGTAGAATATCCAAATGAGATACACATGTATTAATTTACTTTTGTTAATTTGAGGTTTAACCAGATTTTCTTAAATGCTGATCCTGTTATCTAAAGCATTAGTCAGGCCCTGGCTGGTTTGGCTCAGTGGATAGAGCATTGGCCTGTGGACTGAAGGGTCCCAGGTTCGATTCTGGTGAAGGGCATGTACCTTGGTTGCGGGCACATCCCCAGCAGAGGGTGTGCAGGAGGCAGCTAATCGATGTTTCTCCCTCATCGATGTTTCTAACTCTCTATCCCTCTCCCTTCCTCTCTGTAAAAAATAAAATATATAAAAGCATTAGTCATTTCTCTAGACCTCTTGTTATCAGTAAATTTGACAAGCAGGCCTTCTATAGCTTCATTCAAGTTCATTGATACAACTCTGCTAACTTTATCCAGTGGTATATGTGTCCCTCTGACTTATTAATATTGGTGTTTTCCTTCTCCATGTACTATTCTTTTCAAAATAGGAAAGATTGTTGCAACTTTAGAACCAATCTATATTCATTAATGTGTGCAAATTCCTTGTCATTGACAGTTGGCTCGTAAATATGGACCAGTATGCTATTTACTAAGGACTCAGTGCCCTTAGCTTTCATTTCATAGCACTTCAACTTGTCTATACTTCAATCTGCTCTCTTTACGTCTTCTATCTGCAATTAATCACTCTTGACTAAAAGTGTAAATAAGGAGAAGACTATTTTCAAGATTTTGTTCTGTTATCTGCTTTATGTTGTGACAAGCCTGGATTTATCTTGATCCTATGAGTATTCTATTGCCTTCTGTCCATTATTTATCAGGTGATTTACTTTAAATATGTGGTACTCCAAGGTCATACAAAAATTTCACTCAAAACTCCAGTTTATTATTTGTTTCCCCTTTTGCAAGTACATTAGAGATGATAATTATTGCAGTACTCACTTTGATGTGCTCTCTTCCTTAGATCTTTTGATACCCTTTAGGACATTTGAAAAGAATTTGTAGTTTTGTAGATACTATTATTCTCTTCAATTTAAAGTCTTTCTGTTGGATGCTGGGAAAAGGAGTCAGCTTATTATCACAAGTCTGTAAAGAAAGTCCCAAATTGGTCCTGTGATGACATCTTAAGGCTGTTATGAGAATTAAATGAATTGATATTTTTAGAACTGTGTCTGTTATATAGAAAGTGATCTGAAAAGCATTTGTTGGAAAAAAAATGTAAAACTATATGCTCTCATGGTGTGAATATTATTTGCTACACATTTCAATTACTCTAAGTGTTAAAATATTTTTAAATGTAGCTCACAATAGTCTGAGTACTTCTGTTTGTCTGCCACTTTTAGCTCTCTCACTTGCCTGAATATATTAAAAATGACAAATAAAAGGAAAATAATACTCAACACCGATTTTTTTTTTTCTCTAGTAGTGGTTGGAGTTAGGTTGCTTAGAGATCTCAGATTACCAGGTATATGGGCTGTCCTAGGTTTTACATTCTTAACCCGGATGTGAGATGAGACCACCTTTTTTGCAGCTCTATAATCATTTGATAGATCCATTTCAATAAATGTTTTGGAGTATGTCCTAAGTGCCCAGGAGTTTCACTAAGAGCTGGGGGCATGAAGATCAATAAGATATAACCCAGCCTCAGTTATATCACAGCCCACTAATGAATTATATGAGAGAATCACTGTGCATTTCTAGGGTAGAGGGATGCAGTGTCATGAGAACATGAAAAAAAAAACACCTAATTCAGCCTGAGAATACAAAAAAATTGATGGCTCCCCTACAAGGAAAGTCACTCTTGAGCTTACCTCCTTGAAGCAAAGGAAGAGAGTACTAAGTGGTGAAGGCTGGCCGGTGTTAAAGCAGAGGAGGCAGCATTTCCTAGGGACTGGGAGGCAGGAGAAAACATGTATGTAGTGGAGGGACAAAAGCAAGGTAAGTGAGCAAGGTCAGGCTATTGCAACAACCTCACACAGTGACGGGGAGGCTAGATTAGGGAAGGGCGAGACAAAAGATAAGGGTTCTAGGTAGTACGTTAATATAATGATCCTGTCAGAAGGAACGTAGCAGTGTGGGAATTAAGGGAATTGAGTATTATTAAAAAATGTAACAGTTTGAATGGACATTATTCAGTATGCAGGCATCTGGTGACAGTCTGCAATTTAGGACTGCGATGAAACTTGTCATCTTTTTCTACTCTTTATGATTATTTTTCCCATTTTCACCACTTGCCATTATAAAAAATAACATTTATGGAAAGAACATAGAGCTCTCTCAATGACCCCAAGCCCAAAGGGTAGAGTAAGATCTCATGGGGCCAGGCACTGATGTTGAGACAGGCAGGTATTGCCCTTGCACTCTCGTTCTTGGGAGACTATTCTTCAAGGTGGCTGAGGGGAATGGACAGATCTCAGATTGGCTTCTTTTACTTAGGAGTGTGGCCTTACGGTTCCTCCACGTCTTTTCATGGTTGATAGCTCATTTCCCTTGTTAGCACTAGATAACATTCTATTATCTGGCTGTGTCGCAGTTCATTTAGCCATTTGCTTTATGAAGGACATCTTATTTACTTCCAAGTTTGGGCAATTTTGAAAAAAAAAAAAAGCTGATAGAAACATCCATATGCAGTTGTTTGTGTGAACATACATTTTCAACTCCTTTGAGAAAATGTCAAGCATCAGGGTTGCTGGATCATATAGTGGGAGTATGTTGAGTGTTAGAAGAAATCACAAAACTGTCTTCCAAAGTGTCTGTACCATTTAGTATTCCCACCAGTAGTGAGTGAGAGTTTTGTTGTTCCACATCCTTGCAAGCATTAGAGGTTAGCAGTGCTCCAAAATTTAGCCATTCTATTAAGCGTGTACTTTCACTGAGAACTTATGATGTAGAGCATCTTTGCATGTGCTTCTTTACCACCTGTATATCTT